CCCCCCAAAATATCAAACCACAACTTATTTGAGATTGGAATTTAGCAAAGTACACATTCCTAAGGACATATGGGCTTACTTTGCCTTTCAAAGCTTTAATAATGTAACACACCTTACTGAGCTTTGTACAGACCAACTGAATATGAATGTTCTATTTTAATTTGTGGGTTAAATTAATACCAAGAAACCTAAACTGTGCTGTATAATTCATTAATTATATTTTTGAAGGTAATTACTGGCTCAATGCTGTCTTGTAGTTTATTCATACTCATGTAGTTTATTACAATATTTTTCACTAGCTGTACCCAGCCATGCATTGCTGTGGCTCAGTTTTCTGAAAAATAAGGAGAACAGTTAAGAAAACGAAATGAAAAGCAATGAAATATAAACTATATTCACGAAATGAACGCTATGGTAAACAACACAGCCCAAATCCAACGGAACGTCACACGAAATAACTAAATCAAAATGGCCAACTATTGGGGCTACAGACTCACTTCTTCGGCGGTTATTCCAGACTAACTGGGCGAATGAATTGAACCCCTTTTATACCCTCAGCCGCTGCAATGCAAATGAGCCTTTGTTATAACTGTGGAAACGGTGCTTTGTTGATTCGGCGTTTCCTACGCAACGACCCATTGTTATTGCATTGTCTCTGTGGGAACGCTCCGTGTATTCGTCGTAACCGTGGAGATTCGATGTTCTCGACACAACGGCTCAATGTTGGGATTACAGTATCGCTATTGTTACTTCCTAGGCAATGGCCAACTGTTGGGGCTACAATACCACTATTGTTGCTACCTATGCAACGGTCTGTTCTAGCGTTACTATGGAAGTGACTCATGGATTCCAAACATGTGACATGTTTTTACCTGTCACAGGTGTGACGTATTCGAATGCAACGTTATGTCAAAATTTCAAAGCAATCAGTGAAGAACTTTCGGGGATTTAAGATCTTGAACAAACGAACATTTACATTTTTATTTATATAGATAGATTGACATTTTTAATGATTTTAACATCAAAAAGTATTAAAATACATTTTTAATGAGTGACATATTCTTGATGTCTTTTAAATTGTTGAATTATTTACGTGTACTTTAATAATAAGAATATGTCGCATGTTACCTATGTAACGTTGTCGTGGTCACATGTCTCCTATTCAGTGCGACAAATAACTTCGACATACGTCTCGGATTCAGCGAATAAGTTATTGAATGCTCACTTTTACACCAGCGAGTACAGCTGTTATCACGTCCAGTATCACCAAAAAACTCTTCAGAGCTGGACTATTATAACCTGGTTTCGGATGCAATAGAGGGCACATTCGCCCAGGGTTCGATTTCACGTGTTCTGTGCTCGTTGCCGCAGAAATGCATTATTTCCGCTCTTTCAACAGTTCATTGCCACAGTTATTCCTAGGCAATGATCTGTTGGTATTCAATGGACGATGTATAACACGTTACAGTATATTAATATTGAGTACAATTAATATTTTAACAACCAACCAACCTGTCACAGGTGTGACATATATATAATAGGTATATAAAAATGCGTGCATTCGAATGCAACGTTGTGTCAAAATTTCGAAGCAATCGGTGAAGAACTTTTGGAGATTTTCAATCAGTAACAAATGAACATTTACATTTTTATTTATATAGATTGAAAACCAAGATTTGAGTTGCTTCATTACCTTATCTATTTTATTTTGAAGAATTTTTTGTTCTTTTCTGTTATCAGTATACTGGTATCATTTGCAAATAGCACCACTTCCCTCTTAGTTATATGGAGGGGTAGGTCATTTATGTAAATCAAAAATGGGCCCAAGGTTGACCTTCGTGTAATCCCTACCTTTACATTCCTTATTT